TCTCCGGGGGAGCGCAGCGCAGCTGCGTGGCGGTCCGGCCGCCTCTTCTCCGAATCCCTCCCCAACCAGCCGGCCAGTCCGGGAATGCTTTAGTCTCTCTCGGGGGCCTTGCTTTCTGTGTGCTCTCTCGCCCTCTCGCCAACTCTCACGCTTCTCAGCGTCAAGCGGAAAGTCGCGGCAAAGGCCTGCTCTCGCGCTGGTCGTCGAAGAGCAAATTTCTCGCGTGTCTCCGGGGGTTGGGCGGGTCTCTGCGGCGTGTCTGGCTCTCTCAAAAATCGGTGTGTTTTCGGCGCTTTCTCGTCGAGCCCTCCATTACACGGGTGTTGTCTAGTTGTCCGTTATGAAAAATACTGGGGCCTCTGGCGGGTATATATGTTATTAAAGAGTGTATTTCTCATCGAGATTGAGGTTCGCAAAAAAACTGATGCATCTCCGGAATTGAAGAAAATCTTACAGCGATGCAAGATTTTCTACAAATTCCGCATATTTAAAAAATCAAAACGCCTCTTTCTTATAAAATTTTAGGTTGCCGAGCTTCGTTCTTCGTCGTTGTCAGTATTCTAATGGAAGTCGAGGCCTCTTAATATGGATTTTTCTCTCCAGGTCCTAAATACTATTTTCGCCTTAAGCTTAAGCTCATCTAGTTCTTACTCTCACTCTCTCCCGCTCTCACTCTATCTCACGCTCTCTATCTTTCTCTCTCTCTCGCTCTATCTGTCTCTCTAGCCCTACCTCTCACCGCCTCTCTCCCTCTATCTCTCGCTCACTCTCTCTCTCTCTCTCTTTCTCTCTCAGTCCCCATCTCTCCCACTCTATCTTCTCCCTCACTTTCTTGAGCCCTCGACCTCAAAAGCTCTCCCTCCCTTCACCCCTCCCCAACCTCATCCTGCTTTCCCTCGCCAGCCCGCCGAGAGCGCGAAGAAATGCCATATCTTCGGCTATTTTTAGCCACAGCCGAATTTGGAAGCAGCAGCGAGCGACGGCCCGAGAGCCCGGGCTCTCCCCATCCTCAACCACCCGAAACGACCAACGCTCCCCCTCCACTCGAGTCTACCCCGGGTGGTGGAACCTCCCGGAAATACCTCCCCACCGACGAAATATGCAAATGCACTCTTTTTGCGAGGCATACACCCGGAGATACTGATGTGAGGCGAGGAAGGGATTGCCTCACAAGGTCGAGAATCGACGATCTTTGATGGTTCTGGGAAATGAGAAATGGTGGCGTAGAATATTTTCAGCAAACCGACGCCAAGGATCATGGAACTGTTTTTTCAGGAAAAGAATGACAGGAAAACTTTCACGCTATTTTAAGTTGTGATCATCGACAAAATGAGGCGAGAAGCATCGAGAGACAGAGAGAGAGAGAGAGAGAGAGAGAGAGAAAAGGGAGAGCAAGAGAGAGTAAGTTCGGGAGAGAGTGAGTTAAAAAGTGAGAAAGAGCGAGCCAGATAGTGAGAGAGTGAGTTAAAGATAGAGAGAGAAACAGAGAGATAGAAAAACAGAGAGGGTGGGAGAGAGAAGCGTGGGGATATGAGAGATATACAGAAAGAGATAGAGGGAGCGATAGGAAGCTCCGTCAAATATTGACGGAGCTAGGCAGATCGGGAGGGTGAGTTAGCACCATACCACCAGCTTACCTCAGGGTACATGGGTCAAAGCGCGCTGGCGATTCAAATAGAATAAACTTTGTCGCGTACTACTTTCTCTGCGAAACGCTCAAGTACTGCTAAACCGTCTTAATTATTAATATTAAAGTATGTCTTCGAGGTTAATTTCTCTCCCTGCCCCTGTCTATGGTCCCTCCCTCTATCTCACCCGCTCCCGATCTCTCTCTCGCTCTCTCTGACTCCCTCGCTCTATCTCTCTATCCCTCTTACACTTACTCTCTCTTTCATTCTTCCATCCAGTCAACGAATTCCAGATGGCGCTGAATTTCTGCGCATTCCCCACCGAAGTGCAACACAACATCTTTCGACGCATGGATGTTAAAAGTTTCTTCTGGACTGCGCATGCCAGCGAAAAAGTGCTAGGAATGGCCAAGGATTGTCGCAACAAATATTGGGATGTCGAGGTCGGTTATGACCGGCAAGGTCTGAAAATCGCGATGACAGAGGAGCAGAAGAACGGATCTTGGCAGCGATGTTCACACAGGCCCATCATAGCCCAGACGACCTGGTCGCTACTTTTCCATAACTCTTCCGTAGAATGGCTCCGACCCGTCGAGACTTTTCCCGAGGAAATCGACATCCGTAGTTACCGCCTGTTTCTTTATGATGACGCTCAGCTCGGCGTGGTCAAGCGGCATCGGCCTGACGGGAAATACTATTCGCTCCAGATTCCGGAGGTTTTGGTTCCGTTGGATCAGGAATTGTTCGAATGGCTGAACGATGCGGTAGAAGAAAAATTAACGGCGAAGCTGCTAGCCCCGTTCCCCAGCTACGTAGCGTTGAAGCTGCCGACGATGCAATTGGAGGTGGGATTTTTTTGTTGCTAAATAAAAATTCAAGAAAATTTCGGGTGAGGCGGCTATTAATGTTATTATCCCGCGCTTGAAAAATCTTATCAAATTTTACGCAAACCAAGAAATTGATGCGAAACGTTTTTTGAGAAGTAATTTTACTGAATTGGGATGACGCTTATATTGAAAAACGAAAAACGCTTGTTTTTCGCCTTTTCGCCAGCTTTCGATAAATAACTAAATCGTCAAAATCGGGCTTGGTTTCCGCCCGCTAGAGGGGTCGATTTTTTGGGACACCCTATAATGTGCCCGTTCTTTCAAGTAAAACTTCATTTTCATGACGAAAACAATATGTTTGGCAAAAACTGCTACTGTGCAGTCATCTTAAGGCCATTACGCACCTACTGACGTACACAAATTTTTGAAAAATTTGCCTTGGCGAGATATCCTCCGGAGACCCTGACGTAAGATACTTACCTATTGCAGTTCGAATGCGACGAGGCGAACCCACTTCTCGGACTCTACGCCCAGATGGTGGTCGAGGAATGGCTCCGTGGCGAGCGTGAAATCCACCACATTAAGGCGTGGCCCTTCCCCTGTCCGGATGACGAGGACGTGCCGACATTTTTTGAGCAGTTCCCACGTCGCTGGCACGATGAGGGTTCCACCACGTATTATCGCATCGTACGCGCCAACGGTGATGTACTGATTGTCAAATTGCTCCAAGGGATGCTTTGGGTGGAGATCAGTGACGTTCGGCATATCCAGTGTTTCACTGAGGATCCACTGTTCCACGAGGAAATTGCGGAATTTGCCAAGGGCAAAGACTAATTGCGAGAATGATGCGGATGACGAGTATCCTTGGCATGCTGATTTTGAAGAAATCATTTTTTGTTAAGCCGTAGCAACTTTTCATGGTATACACGATTCTTAACGACACGACTGTACGCATAATATTGTGAGGGAGAGAGAGGAAGAGAGATACATAGGGAGAGAGAGAGAGAGAGAGAGAGAGAGCAAGACAGAAAGCGGCGCGAAAATATTCCACAGGGCACGCAACTTTGCCCCCGGGCTATTCAAATGACATCCCCTTTGCCGCGTAACACCTTCTCGTCCAAACTCCAAGACACACATACGAGGCATTTTGAAACGGGATCTAGCCCATCTTCTGCAGAATGTTTCACTAATTCCAAATCCGTTTTCGGTTTTTAGAAAAGAGCCCAATTCCAAAAGTTCTAGTAATTGTTAGACCCGGCAGAAGTCATCTGCCTGGATGCTCTACCTTTTTGTTTTAATTTCGTGCGATTTTAAGGAGCCTATCTGCCAGAAAATCTTATGCTGATTTGAATTGTCTTTTTCATTAGTGCGCGACTAGTTTTAGAATGCGAACAAAGAATCAAAATAAAACCGGGGTTCCCAATAGAAAAAATCGCAAGGCAATCGTATCGCCAAGCTATAGGTCCTCGATAAGCTATAGTTAAGAAGCTGAAAATTTTAAAATGCTGAAGCCATTCTGGAATCCTCATCGGATTTTGATCATCCTAGACTTTTTAATTATGAAAATTGATTAGAGAATCACTGAGATCGAGAGATTGGGTGCCTAACAAAGCATTACGACATGTAATCGCCACGCGCTCATAATGTCGTTCTGGCCCCAATAACTTTTCGGGTTTACTAAAAAATTTTTACGTTTTTTCGTAGCGAAATCACTTGTCTGGCACTTCTCGACAGCGACCCTTTTTTTGGCCAGTAGGTTCAATCCCCGCACGCACGAATTTTGACTTCAGAGTTCCTTTAAAATAGCTAAAAACCTTTGAACCGTGGATTCGACAACAACTAAAGCCCCGAATTGACAATCGGAAAGCAATTCTTCAAACAATAGGCTAGGTTCCATGTCCAAACAGAACTTCGATCTTGCGTCTCTTCGTTAGCCCCTTGTTAGCACATGAGACATCTTATTCTGAATTTCTCTTAAATATTCTTTTGACACTACGTCTCTCACATCCCGTGCCTCAATAAACCAACAACAAAATTACAGATGGCGCTGAATTTCTGTGAATTCCCGATCGAGGTCCAACACAAGATTTTGCGGCGCATGGACATTAAAAGCTTCTTCAGGACTGCCAATGCTAGCAAGACGATGCTAGAAGTCGCCAAGGATTGCCGGAACAAATATTGGGATGTGGAAATTGACTATGACTATGGAAAACTGACGATGAGTCTGGAATGGGAACGGAAGTCGATCACGGACAAGCAGACATGGGTCTTACTCTTCCATAACGCCGTGGTGGAATCGCTCCAAATCGACAAGGCCTTTCCTGCGGAAATCGACATCCGTTGCTACGACGCAAGGTTTTACGTATACCACGACAACGACGATCTGGCCATGGCCAAGCGTCACAAACCTCCCGGCAAGTATGTTATGCTCAGCACCTCGACGATACCAGCCGATCCGGAAACACTGGAGTGGCTAAACGACTCGGTGGCTGAGGAATTAACAGCGTCGCTCGAAGCCCCGTTCCCAGAATACATAGCGTTAAAGATGCGCACCCTGACACTGGAGGTGAGAATTTTTCGCGAAACGTATCTTGCCAATTCTGAACGGAAAAGCCTGATTTGCAAAAAGTAATTTAGTTTTCCAAAAGCCAAGTTCATTTTTGAAAAAAGAGGGAGAGAGAGAGAGAGAGGGGGGGGGGGGGGGGGGGGGGGGGAGGGGGGGGGGGGGGGGGGGGGGGGGGGGGGGGGGGAAATTTTTTTTTAAGGGGGGGGGGGGGGGGGAAAGAGAGAGAGCCCGACAGACAGAGAGAGAGAGCGAGAGAGAGAGAGAGAGAGAGAGAGAGAGAGAGAGAGAGAAAGAGAGCGAGTACTAAAGTACAGGGTGTCCCAAAAAAACACCCCTCTTGCTCGACGCAAAAATCTCGGATAGCACTGATAGTTACACCATTCGAAAGCTCTTGAAATGGCGAGTTTGCAACAAACCTCAAAAGATGTTTTACTATTTAAACGCTCCATTTACAACGGACTAAAACAATTCCGGCCATTTTTCTGGGGGAAATTGAGGAACATCAGAACGTATGCATCTTCAAAAACGCGCAAAAATGTGCAAAGTGGCTAGAAAAATAGCGGATTTAAGTCGAAACTTGGTTTTGAAATTTGTTGCAAACTCGCCTTTTCAAGGGCTTTCAAATGATGTAAAGATCATTCCGACCCGATACTTCTCCGCCGATTTAAAGGGTGTTCTTTATTGGGACACCCGTATAGCCAAACTTTAATATTTTTACAGATCGAATACCGAAACGTCGAGCCACTTGTCGGACTCTACGCTGAGATGGTCGTCGAGGAATGGTTGCGTGGCGAGCGTGAAATTCATCACGTCGAAGCGGGGCGCTTCTGCTATCCAGTCGAGGCCCCCATGCCGGCATATTTTGACCAGTACCCGTGCATGACGATGGAGGAAGATAGCTCCACCTATTTTCGCATCGTGCGCGCCGACGGTGCGGTGCTGATTGCCAGATTGTCCGATACCATGCGTTACGTGGCGATTAGTGACGTTGAACACATCCAATTCGACGATGCCGATGCGGTATTTAACGAGGATATTATTGAATTCGCCAATGGTAACGAGGATTTTTACGATGTCTATGGCGAAGGTGATGATCATGATGAGGATGACGACGCTGATGAAGAAGAAGATGATGATGTTGACGATGGGGATAAAGGTAGTAATGATGATGATGATACTGATGCTGTTGCTGATGGTGACGATAAATGAGTTTTAAGCTTCAAAAATTTGCAAAGAAAACCGATTTCAAGGTAACATTGCCTTTTGGGCATGCCGAAAAAGCCAACTATAAGTGTATAAAAAAATCTGGCTTCTTTCTTACTGAGAATAAAGCGCAAGTTGATACATAATGAGATGATACGCAAGAAACATAGTAAGAAAGATAGAAACCGAGAGAGAGAGAGAGAGAGAGAGAGAGAGAGAGAGAGAGAAAGAGGGGGAGAAGGGAAGAAGAGGAGAAAGAGAGAGAAAAAGAAAAAGAGAGAAAGAGAGAGAGAGAGAGAGAGAGAGAGAGAGAAGAGAGAGATGGAAAGCTAGTGATAAACGTCATAAAGATAGCCCTAAACGGCTAGAACCATCCATAACACTAGATGAACAGAAAAACTGTTGTTCCTGTATTTTTTCCAAAAGCGTGATTACTCCACGAATGAAAGCCAAGTCCATGCCAGAACATTGACCACAGCCAGGTTCCTCAAGCCCAACACCCCCAGAATTATTGAGAGAAGTGGCTGGTCTTCCTTGTTCAAAAAAGAGCTAGAATCCCCGAAAAATGCTCGCTTTTCGCACGTACTGGAGCCTACCCACCCTTAATTGTGGATGAACTTCCGGTACAGGGAACTTTGTGCAACTTTTGCATGGGGCTTGGGAATGTAAATACTTACTGTTAGCGAAGACAAAGCTCAATGGAAAATCAGGGGGAAAACAGGGGTATTTTTGATTCGGATTAACAATGGATAACGGTTTAGGAATGACTTTTTTGTATGGTTTTCAGGGCTTAAATCCTAGAAAAAAAGCGATGGACAGCAAAATTTAAAGATTTGATGAATTCACTGTGTTCATTACTTTTTCAAGAAAAAGATAACGTCTGGTAACAAGTAACCGCGTGAGACTGAAAATACATAAAATCGGGGTCTTGCTTAGACCAAACCCCCCATCTGACAACAAAAAAAATCATCAAACTTCCGCCGATCCCACCCAAAATGCGCACTGCATGACGGAGACAAACAAAATAGCCTCCCGGCTGCGGATGACAAGTACTACGCGGCAAAACTTTTACGTCAAGACCAACCCGAAACAATCATGCACCTTTCCAAAAAATAGTCATGACAAGTAGACATCCAAGATCGCCTTGAATCACACGATTGACGGCAGAAACGTATTGAAACCCCGAAAATTCTCACGGCTCCAAATAAACGGTGACCAGGCTGTTTTTCCGGGGTGGCTCGCGTGAGCCGAAAATATGGCCCGGTCCCAAAATAGCACCAGGGAATTAAGGCGCCAAAAATACGCTGCACCCGCTGTGCGTCAGCTGGGTTTGTGTGTAGAAATGGCCGCAGAAAAATGGGGAGTTTAAAAATTGGAATTAGAAAGTCTAAAATTGGGGGAACGGAGTGGTCGGGCTTTAAAAGGAACTTTTCCTTAAACATAATGCACCGAAAAAAAACATTAAAAATAAAGTTAGACGATCGAAATCACGATTTTTTTTTTTTTTTTTTTTTTTTTTTTTTTTTTTTTTTTTTTTTTTTTTTTTTTTTTTTTTTTTTTTTTTTTTTTTTAAAAAGTTTTTTTTTTTTTTTTTTTTTTTTTTTTTTTTTTTTTTTTTTTTTTTTTTTTTTTTTTTTTTTTTTTTTTTTTTTTTTTTTTTTTTTTTTTTAAATTTTTTTTTTTTTTTAAATTTAAAAAATTTTTTTTTTTTTTAAATATTATAATTTTTTTTTAAAATATAATAATTTTTTTTTTATTAAAAAAAAAGTTTTTTTTTTTTTTTTTTTTTTTTTTTTTTTTAAAATTTTTTTTAAAAAAAAAAATTTTTTGGGTTTAGGAGGGGTGGGTTTTAAAATTGGAAAGGTTTTTTCAACCTTGGTTATAACTGAATTGTCAAGGAAAATATTGAAAAACAAAACCTGTTAACCGCTTTCAAGATCGCTGCAAGTGGGAGAATCGACTTTTATGCGACGCTGGGTCTCGACAGCTACGCAAGAAAACTAAAGGCGACTACTGAAATTTTCGATTTATGTTTTTCGTGCTTCAAAATTGAGAGAATACGAGCTTAAAGGGCTTATGATTCGCTCCAGCGATACCTGTCGATACCTAGTCTAGCGTACGGGGTCGATTTTTTCACTTGCGTGTCCCTTTAAAACTAATAGTAAGATAACTTCAGAAGTTTGACAAAATACAAGGATATTGGAAATAGCAAAAAAAAAAAATAGACAGCGAATCCGTAAAAACCGGGTCCCATTTTGTATTCCACCGCTAACCGCCTACCCCATAAATAAAGCCCGCCAAACGGCACCAAAAATAGCCCGGGGGCAAAATGATTACCACCCAAAAATAGGCCAGCAGCTGGTGTGTCAACACATCTGATTGCCAATTCAGAAAAAAACGACACGGGCCGGGTGGGGGTGCCGAAAATAAACCAAATTACACGGGGCAAAGCGCGGTGGGGGGCAGTAATTTTTTTCGCCTCTTTACCGGCTTCCTCCCACAAACAACGACATATACTGGGGCGGCCGCGATAAGCTGCCAATTTTGGGCTTCTCCCTACAAGGGGGCGGAAGCCAACAAAACTTTTTTCGGGAGGAGGGGTAGAAATGTGGATAGGTAGAACTTGGCTGAATTCAGGGAATTTGGGAGGAGTATAGAAATTGAACCCGGCGCCAAATCGAGCCATGGGGCTTGTTAGGACCGCTGGGACCGAGGCACCAAGGTGAAAATAAGGCGAATGAGAGGCAAAAATAGCCTGTGAAGTGGACTACAATTTTTCCGAAAATTAGACGGACCCGGAAAAGGTGAATGAGTCAGACTACACACATTCGGACTACACGATGCGCCGGAAGTACGTTTCTGAACGGTAGCCAAGCGGTTTTACTCGGTTTTCAAACCCAAAATAATCATGTTTCCGGTTTTTTACGCCGTTTAAAGTTAATTCGGATGTGTTGAAATGAAGGCAGAAAAAATGGAATGAAGTCAGAAAATTTCAACAAGCATACATTCTTAATCCCTTTAAAAACCCCCCTAATTAGTATATATTAATGTTGCCATTTAGGAAACAAATAAGTAAACAGGGCAAATCAATAAGCAGAAGAAAATTAAGCAGGGTAATTTGTAGATAATAAACTAATATGTATATATTAATTAAAATAAGAAAAGAAATCCCCGAGGGGAAAGAACTCGCCGAAGCGAGCGAATGCCTCCGAAGAGGCCAAATTCGCCGAAGCGAACGGTTCCCCGAAGGGACAAACTTGCTACGAGAGCAAGCGGGTTGTCCAGAAGGACACAAACCCCACCATGAAGGTGAGGCGGGTACTCGTAAACGAGCATTTAAGAGGATAAAGAAAGAAAGATGTGCCTGTTTCGACCCTCAATCCAAGACAGGCTTAAAATACGTCAGGGTGGGTCTCCTCAGTTGGATCCCTGACGTTTTAGAGGTTAAATAAAAGAGGTTAGATGAGATTATAGTAGGAAGAGTTAGGTAGTAAAGTATAAAGAATTAAATGTAGAAGGAAAAGAAGCTAATTTAAATGGTGTACTATTTTAAGTGTTTTCCTTCTCTATGTTTTGGCCCTTTTTGAGAGGCTTCCTTAGCTCGGGAGAGCCGGGGAAAGCCCGTGTCGAAAGGAGTGGTGTGTAGGGTAGCGTAATGGGAGGTTAGGCCAAAAGGAAGAAGGGAAAAGTGAAATTAGAAAACGAAAGGTAGAGAAAACTAAAAGAAAAGTAAAGAATTAAAATAAATTAGTTAGAGTTGGGGTTGTTGATAAGGTGGATGAAGTTTTTAGGGTTAATGTCATATTTGAGACTCAGTAAAGGAGATTTTTTGAGGACTTTTTGACAAAGTTGTCTCAAAATTTGATTAGGATAACCATTATTTTTAAGATGGGTTATTAAAAGTCGAAGATGTTTGAGGCAGTCTTCTAACTGAGTACAACGTCGTATAACCCTAATGATTTCACCTTCCACGCAACCATGTTTAATACCGTAAGAGATATTAGATGAATAGTTAGGCATGCGTGTAACAATAAATTTATAGTCATCTACTTTATTATACAATTCGGAATTAATGAGATTGTTTTGACTATAAAGTTTCAAATCTAGGAAGTTGCCACAGTTTATGGAATGATTAGTTTGTTCTAAAGTTAACTCCTTAGGATATATTTTTGATAAGAAGTTGACAACATCAACATTAGGTTTATGTAGGATAAGGATATCATCCATGTATCGGTGACCACTCACGTCTCTAGAGTAATTATCTTTCAAAAATATGTATTCAAAGTAAGTGAGAGTAAGGTCAGCTAACATTGGACTACAGTTTTGTCCTTGAGGTATTCCTAGCTTTTGTTGAAATAGATTTTGTTTATAGGTCACAAAGCTGTTAGTAAGAATGTAATTAACTAAGTACATTATATCCTTTTTCTGGTAGGTATTGTTACCATCATTGTCATTAGTGTAATAACAATTTTTGTAACCTAATTTAATACTAGTTTTTTGAGAATTATTGAAGCAAATGTCTAGTAAGCCATTAATAGCGGTGTTAACAATATCATGAGGAAGGTTGGTAAAGAGACTACTGAAATCAGCTATGAAAATGTTGCTTTTATCCGTGTTATCTAGTAAGTTAACCTGATTTGAGTTGTCTATAGACCAATATACCTTCTTATTAGTGTTAGAGTTTATAGCCGAGCAGTATCGTTGGAAGTGTTGTCTTATAAATTTAAGAATTTGATGTAAGCATACTGACATTGGCTTGATAGAACTATTATAGGCCCCAGTAATAAATCTAAATTTAATAGGGTTTTTATGAAATTTAGGTAGGCCATATATTTTAGGTAAAATTGGTAGATCTGGAATATTTAACTGGTAAATAGCTTGTGTATTCAGATGTCGTTTAATAATATCTTCAATTTTCTCTATTTTATAGGGTTTATAGGTATCGTTACCATTAGGACGTCCGTTGATAAAGCCCATTTCCTTATCAATGAAACTTTGATAAAGGTAGGGGCAGATGATAGCAAAATTGGAAGTGGCTTTATCCACGCTTGTTAAAATAAAAGTTTGTCGTAATTTAGCAATCTCTTTCCAGTCTAATTCTGTAGGGATAAGATTTGGAAGGTTAGAAATAAAGGTATGAATTAGTTCTGTCGAGAGTTGCAAAGGTGTCGAATGTTTAGTTATTTTGCGTATTTCTTTTTCAAAATCGATACACATCTTGTTTAATTTTATAGGTTCGGAAGGGTTCAAAATAGGTCGAAATTTAGTACCTAATTTCAAAATTTTGGCTGTTTTAGGAAAATATTTTTTGATAGAATCACTCTCTCCTGTCAAAACATGAACTTGTCCGTTATAATTAAAAGTATTTTTGTCATTTTGATATCTATAACAATGATGACAAGTGGGGGAAGGGTAAAAATTTACTTGTTTTTGCAGAGAATTTAAATACCGGTTATAGTTAAAGAGTAAGTTTCCTAAGGTAGGGTTAAATTGGTAAGTTATTTGAAAATCCGAATTAAATTGAATGTTGTTTCTATATAAGTAATTTGTAATAATTTTCTTACTATTAATGTTTTCGATTTTTGAATCGATATAAGGAACTTTAATACGGATTTTAGGGTACTTTTTATTCTTTAGGTTATTTAGGGTTTTAGGTTGACTGTATTTATGGATAGAAGCTGTAGCTATGGCTCTAACATTTGGGTTATGATGTTCAAGATATGGAGCAAGTTTAGCATGTATCTTTTTGGGTAAATTATGGGTTAGAGCGCGGATAGTGCTAGGTTCTAGGTTTTGGAGGTTATAATCACTAAATTGAAAATTATAATCTTTTTTCCTAGGTTTACGGTTGCGTTTCCCGCGATTACGTGGTGGGGGTTTAATTTTCAGGCAAAAATATGGGGCAGGAGTTTTGTATTTACCAATAGGATTTGAAATAACGCCATATCCTTTAATTTTGTCATTCAGTCCAAAAGGATACGCAGTATTAAGGAGTTTAATCCAATATAATTCTTTATCAGTACGAATTTGTTTGTCTTGATTTTCATCATGATCATCCAAAATATGTATATAAAACATATTATCTGGCTGTTCTTGTGGAAAATGAGCACAGTAATGTTCGTATACATATCCAGATTTTTGTTTTTTAATGGAGTATTTATGAGCTAGCATTCTTTTAGTAATTTTGCAAGAGGTTTCTCCAACGTATTGAATATTACATATCTTACAGGTTAGACAGTAAACTACGTTTTTGCTTTGACAATTAGAATAATTAAAAAGATTGGTTCTAGAATAGTAATTAGTAGAGTTACTATGGATTAAAGCTTCATATTCTAGATCTTTACAAGTACTACAATTTTTTCTACCACATTTAATTCCAATTTTTTCGCTATATTCTTTGTCTATGAACTTGAGATTTCTACCTAATTTTGTAGAAGTATGCTCCGTCTGCCCGTAATAAGAGGAATATGAATTGAGTTTGTTTGTACGTCTAATATACCAGTGGGGTCCGACGTAAGAATGCCCACGGGTTCTACCGAAATTCACGCCTCTCGGCGCCTAGCTAGGTAGCGCACGATACCCAGCGTGGTACTGAATCCAGCCTGGCGGCCCACCATCGGTACGTAACGCGCGCCGTGGGTCTTATAACCGGTTCACGGATCAGTTGGGATGGTATGTTAAGAGAAAGGGGAATCGCTTCTGGTCCGTAATTTTAAAAGGTTAAAAACTAGTAGAGTGACGACCGTAGAGTATCATAGAAAGATAGTCGGCTTGGTGAAGAAGAGGTAGTGATTGGGTATACGTGGAGATTAATACGTATTAAGTGGAGCAAAATATTAGGGCATAATAAGTTATGTAGGTAGAGAAAAGTGGAATTAGTAGTAGTGAAGAAAGGAATAAAAAAATTATTGGGATTATAGGATGAAACTGACAATTAAGTAAAGGAATTTGTAATGTATTAGAAATAATAGAGGTAAAAAGCGATAGATTATATCTTACACTACGAAATCCTGAACAAAATAGTACTGTAATAGCACAAAGGCCACAGCCATGCTAGGCGTCGAGAGCCGAACCACCGTGAGGCGCCCGGTCGAGGACTTCAAGACGATCAGGAATTTCAAGTTCGCGGAGGAATATCCGGCATGGAAGGTGGACGAGGGCGCAGTCATCGGTCATGACCAGAATGACCAAGAGACAGACACCATTATGGGAAGAAATACGGAAGAAGAATGCTTTCTCAGAAAAATACTTCGTTGGGAAGCCTGGACCGAAGAAAGCGCCGGAAACATCCTCCCCCTACAACAAATCGAGTTGTCCCCAGCAGACGCCGCCGCGTGCAACGGAGCCACCAACAGGATGGCTATTGTAAAAGCGGCACGAAGCATCTGGGGAAGCCACCAACGCGTGCCAATGATATTAATGAGTTCAGGATGGCTCATACCGGAAAATCAAGGCGAGGATGAGGACGACGACTACCCTCCTCCAGCTCACCTGCACTTCATAAACGAATCCCCTGTGCCTTGACGCGCGTTCCTCTGTAATGTCCCAACACGATACCGTTGTTCATTTGTTCGCAAAACACTGCAACTAATTCCCCGAATTGTCTCTAATATTGAAGCACGATTGTCGTTCCCAGGCGTGCTTGCCGCCTAACACTAACGCAAAGAATAGGAATAAAAGGCTTTTCCAGACGCCCGTCGAGCGATCAAGAAGAGGAGAAGCAAGGAGAAGGCGAGCATGGCCGACGACAAGGAAAAAGAAAGACGAGAAGGAGGAAGGGATCCAGATCGGAGAAGCCACCGTCAAGACGGTGCTTAGTGTAAGCAACGTGATACGTCGACAAGAACAAGAACGACGCGAAGAGGGAAGAAAACGGAAAGCCAACGAAGAGACGTGCATCTTATGCAAACGTACTGGCCATCCGTCCTCGGAATGCAAGCAGCCAGAGGGCACCGCAAAAAGAGAGGCAGGACTCGCTTCGGAAAGCAGGAGTGTGCCTCCGATGCCTCACCGCTGACTGTATCCAACATCCAGCCAGTCAGCGGTTGGGGTGTTGCCACAAGCACTGGAAAAGGGTTTGCGGACAAATCGAGTGCATCAGGGATGCAGTCGTACATTCGGCTTTAGTTTGTCAAAGGTAAAAACTAGTATTAAATCTCAACATCATTAACCTTCTCCAGAGCCGAAACCGCCGAACGCGTACGCGCCTTGCCCACAAGCTCCTTCAGTCTGGACACGTCGATGTCGACGTCGATGTCGCCGCTGCCCAAAAAGAAGCAGCACTAAAAACTGCGGTTCCACTGCCCCGTCCCTAGCTTCTAGATTGTTTTTATTATTTTTTCAAAAATTGTCTAAAAATATTTATTAGATATTAGGAAGGACTGCAATTAAGGAGGCAATGTTTTTTTTCGGTGGAAATAAACAAAGGAATTGTTTACGAAAAAGAAGAAAAAGCCCTTAATTAGCATCCAAAGGAACCTCTCTAAAGATAGCTACATCAGGCGCTGGAGCAGGAGCGGGCAGATTAGCGTTTTGAGCGCGCTTGTAGAAAACCCACAGACCAACAGTTACACAATGGCAGACAAGGGAAAGGCTCAAGAAGAAGTACAGGAGTCCGGTGACGAGGGGATGACAAGAATCATTCGGGGGACATTCGGGCACGGGCAAAGTCGTCGGAGAAACAGTCGTCGAAGAGGGAAAACTTTGGCTAGAGGGAAAGAAGCGGTCTGTTTCCAACGTGTGAACAGACAGAGAATGCCAATGCCAGACACATCCGACGCCGGCCACGACGCTGAAAGCCACAGAATTCCAAAAAGAGACCCGAGAGTTGTAAACTACAGAGCTAGTTTCAACTATAACTAACCCGTCATGATTGCCCCAAAGAATCTGCAACCCATCGCGGTCCAAAAAGCATGCCAGAGCCGACATTCGCAGTTCCACAAGGTCAACACAGTGGGAGAATTGTAGCGGAGAGACGCTGGAAGCCAAAGGTAAGGGAAGGAATTGGTAGAAGCACTTACGAGGATAAGGCAAGACAATACGGGCAGGATGGACATCCGGCAAGTAATTTAAAATGAAGACCAGCAATTGGCGGCAGCAAGAATACAAGCACCACCAATTCGGGGGGGAGCCTCGCCATGGAATACAAAGGCGAAGAATCGGGAGGAATGAGATGGAGACGAGAGGCAACGGGGAGGAAACCGATGTTGTGTTTTTTCGTTAAAAGCCCAACCACCCCACCACTCCGCATTTCGCGGCGGCCCCCAATCTCGCAACTAAAGATGCGAATTTTAATGGCTTTCCTACCGGAAGGCCAATTTCGACCTTTTTTTCCCCGTTCCTTTTCCCTCGCGGGAAATACGGGAAGGTGATCGGCCCCGGGGGGCTTGATCACGTGATCAGCTGTGCAGCCGGGATCAACCGAGGAACCCCGATCGACTCCAAGATGGAAACAGCGGTGTTACAATTCGCCTCCACCCGAACCCCTATCGGTCGACTGAGAGACTAAGCCGAGCCCCAGATCACTACCAGTTTTTGTGCCCACCATGCTGTATTTAAGCCGGGCCCGCGAGGGACCGGCACTTCTGACTACCCAAGTTTTCCTGTACCCCTGGCCGTCAAGGCCATCATCGTCACCCTGAATTAGCTGCTCTTTAGTATTCTTTTTACTATCTTATATGCGATAAAAGTATTCTATAACTAAACAATATTCCTACGATTTTATAACTCAAAGCATTCTACCGGAGACGTGAGTTTGAAATCTGTAAAGATGGGCAGGGCCCTACCACTCAGGGAACGTAGGTAAAACTAATAAACTAATATGTATATATTAATTAAAATAAGAAAAGAAATCCCCGAGGGGAAAGAACTCGCCGAAGCGAGCGAATGCCTCCGAAGAGGCCAAATTCGCCGAAGCGAACGGTTCCCCGAAGGGACAAACTTGCTACGAGAGCAAGCGGGTTGTCCAGAAGGACACAAACCCCACCATGAAGGTGAGGCGGGTACTCGTAAACGAGCATTTAAGAGGATAAAGAAAGAAAGATGTGCCTGTTTCGACCCTCAATCCAAGACAGGCTTAAAATACGTCAGGGTGGGTCTCCTCAGTTGGATCCCTGACGTTTTAGAGGTTAAATAAAAGAGGTTAGATGAGATTATAGTAGGAAGAGTTAGGTAGTAAAGTATAAAGAATTAAATGTAGAAGGAAAAGAAGCTAATTTAAATGGTGTACTATTTTAAGTGTTTTCCTTCTCTATGTTTTGGCCCTTTTTGAGAGGCTTCCTTAGCTCGGGGAGAGCCGGGGAAAGCCCGTGTCGAAAGGAGTGGTGTGTAGGGTAGCGTAATGGGAGGTTAGGCCAAAAGGAAGAAGGGAAAGTGAAATTAGAAAACGAAAGGTAGAGAAAACTAAAAGAAAAGTAAAGAATTAAAATAAATTAGTTAGAGTTGGGGTTGTTGATAAGGTGGATGAAGTTTTTAGGGTTAATGTCATATTTGAGACTCAGTAAAGGAGATTTTTTGAGGACTTTTTGACAAAGTTGTCTCAAAATTTGATTAGGATAACCATTATTTTTAAGATGGGTTATTAAAAGTCGAAGATGTTTGAGGCAGTCTTCTAACTGAGTACAACGTCGTATAACCCTAATGATTTCACCTTCCACGCAACCATGTTTAATACCGTAAGAGATATTAGATGAATAGTTAGGCATGCGTGTAACAATAAATTTATAGTCATCTACTTTATTATACAATTCGGAATTAATGAGATTGTTTTGACTATAAAGTTTCAAATCTAGGAAGTTGCCACTTTTTGTGGAATGATTAGTTTGTTCTAAAGTTAACTCCTTAGGATATATTTTTGATAAGAAGTTGACAACATCAACATTAGGTTTATGTAGGATAAGGATATCATCCATGTATCGGTGACACCACTCACGTCTCTAGAGTAATTATCTTTCAAAAATATGTATTCAAAGTAAGTGAGAGTAAGGTCAGCTAACATTGGACTACAGTTTTGTCCTTGAGGTTATTCCTAGCTTTTGTTGAAATAGATTTTGTTTATAGGTCACAAAGCTGTTAGTAAGAATGTAATTAACTAAGTACATTATATCCTTTTTCTGGTAGGTATTGTTACCATCATTGTCATTAGTGTAATAACAATTTTTGTAACCTAATTTAATACTAGTTTTTGAGAATTATTGAAGCAAATGTCTAGTAAGCCATTAATAGCGGTGTTAACAATATCATGAGGAAGGTTGGTAAAGAGACTACTGAAATCAGCTATGAAAATGTTGCTTTTATCCGTGTTATCTAGTAAGTTAACCTGATTTGAGTTGTCTATAGACCAATATACCTTCTTATTAGTGTTAGAGTTTATAGCCGAGCAGTATCGTTGGAAGTGTTGTCTTATAAATTTAAGAATTTGATGTAAGCATACTGACATTGGCTTGATAGAACTATTATAGGCCCCAGTAATAAATCTAAATTTAATAGGGTTTTATGAAATTTAGGTAGGCCATATATTTTAGGTAAAATTGGTAGATCTGGAATATTTAACTGGTAAATAGCTTGTGTATTCAGATGTCGTTTAATAATATCTTCAATTTTCTCTATTTTATAGGGTTTATAGGTATCGTTACCATTAGGACGTCCGTTGATAAAAGCCCATTTCCTTATCAATGAAACTTTGATAAAGGTAGGGGCAGATGATAGCAAAATTGGAAGTGGCTTTATCCACGCTTGTTAAAATAAAAGTTTGTCGTAATTTAGCAATCTCTTTCCCGTCTAATTCTGTAGGGATAAGATTTGG